CCCAGAAGAACCAGCATTTTGATTATTATAATACTACAAGTGAAAATATATGTAAGTATTGATCATGTGTGTTGTTTGTGCTGTACTATACGGTCTGCTTCTTTATTGTGGTAAGTGAGAAGTAAAGCTGTGCTATGAAAGTTAGCTTTTGCTACCTTTAGATCCATAACAATGCAAGCTAAGTAGCCTAACAGTTAGCTACATAGCTAGCAGTGAGTGAGCGTTGACACCGGCGCACTCACTCAAACGGACTCGTGTGCCTGACTCTACCAACATGCTTTCATGACTCTGTTTAGATATGCAAGTATAAGCCATGATAGCTTATTTTATTAACACGCTAATTTGATATGAAAATCAATGGAGGCTGAGTTAACTTTGTAGGAAAACCTACCGTCCATGACTGCCCCTGAGCTGTGTTTTATTTGTTAACTTCATTTTTTTTTTTCATTTCCTAAAACATTTATTTTCCTCTCATATTAACAGTGTGGATCATTGAGACAGCGTGGTGTCCAGAGGTCTTATCCCGTTTTCCCACTTCCTCTGAGGGGACAGCACGGAGGGGGGGGGGGCAAGGCATGAAGAAAGACCTGGGTTGCGTTCGGATAGTTTAAAAATCAGCTCCTAAGTTCTTACCCCCTATCTCCTATTCCTTGACCTCTGAGTGAAACGTCACGCTGTTAAGGGATAGTGGATAGGAGAATTCAAAAGGACTTGGGAGAAGAGACTGCGGTACTTTAGAGAATCCGAATGCACTTTCACTATCCGACGTGTTTATGATGCGCCAGCGGACGTCATTGTGTGCGTCTGCTACTGTGGGGAAACTACAGTTTTCTATACAGCGGACTACAACATGGATGTTTAATAAGAACGAGGGACTCATCTAGAGACTCTGCACCGTGCTCTGATGCTGTTGTTTTATGCTTTATGAACGTGGACAACAGAGACACATATTCTTCATGACCAAAATTGGAATTTAAATAAAAAATGAAAGTGAAACTTATGCTCCTCACCCTCTCCCTCTGGTCCACATTAATACAAATGATCCCAAGACGTATGATTGTATGAACTATGAAAATTTCTTAAAATCAATACAAATGTATTTATTATAAACGTTAAGTCTTTAACACCTATCACTGTGTATATCACCATTCAAACATCTTTTAAAAGTTGAACAAACTCCACACAGCTCAGTAAAGACTGTTGACTTTATTTGATCATTTCAGTAAAAACGAACGTTCATATTTCTCTTTTTGATTATAATACTGATGAACGTTCAAAACAAAGCACTTTGGCAACTTACCACATACGTTTTAAAATGCTTAATAAGCACCGTAACTTTCATGATATAATTTCTCCGTCATATCGTTTGTGTCCGTGAACGGCCNGGGCTGGAGCTACAACGAGCCGTTAAAGGCAGAGAGTGAAATTCCGTGAATACACGTAGTTTACAGAGATGCTGTTTGAGAAACCAATGTGAGTTGCATTTATCTTTACCCATGGATGCACACTAAGAACGGACCCATATNTAGTTTACAGAAATGCTGTTTGAGAAACCAAAGTGATTTTGGAAAATTGCACAATATAAATCTATTGTAGTAGACCTCAACAATGGAATTATGATCAGTGGAAATGGCCATGACATGGGATCTTTAAATGTTCATGTCTCACGCTGCACTGTAACTTTGGTTAAAGTACTTTAAACCTGTGTTATTCTATATTAGCTTGTTTTATGCTTTTAAATGCGCTGCACTCTTTCATAATGCAATTTGTCTTGAAAGGTGCTGTATAAATAAACTTGCCTTGCCTAAAGTCAAGTACAAGTATGTCAAAACAGTAACTTAAATACTATACTTGAGTAAATCTAATATGTTTCCATCCACGACTGTTTTTTTACTAATTTCAGTATTTATTTTATTATGGAAAATGTCCGTTACCTTGTTTAATATGTTTAATGTTTAATATGTCTTTGTTGATGTAACTGAATGATTTTACAAAAACATGTTGGATTAGAAAATCATTTGACTGAAGGCTAGTAACTTATTGTTCTCTGTAACCTGAATAAATGTGATAACCATTTCTCGTATGTTTTAGTTGTGTTTAAGGTCTAACAATTATTTATCTATAAATGAGACGTCTCTGCAGCAAACATATTCTGATAGCTGAGTTTACCCTGAATAATAAAACGTATATTACCTAGGCTTGGACATCAAAGTGTTAAGTACAAGTACTTATACGTCACAGTAAAAATACTCCATTCAACATAAGAATGCTGTATTGAGAAAGGTACTTAATGGTACACTTGTCTGGTTAAATGCACAACTGCCTTTCATTCTCTCAGTAGAATAAAGTTTCAAATGTAATCTGTAGGTTTTATAGATAGACAATCAAACATGAGAAAAATGTTTCTTACCAACGTTGTGCAAAATGCGGGCCTTTTCCACCAGGTACTTGTGGGACGGAAGAAAGGCTTCTTTATCCAGAAGAATGGCCTCTGCAGCCTTCGTAGACTCCTGTACACACACACACACACACACACACACACACACACACACACACACACACACACACACACACACACACACACACACACACACACACACACACACACACACACAGGTGTTATGATGTTATTATTTGATGCATCAGATGCCGCTGCTATTGATTTGCGTCTAACTGAAAGCAACCGGTGATGCGTTCAAAGACATCAGGAAAACATACGTTGGGGAAGAGTCTGTACAATAATAATAATAATGATATTATAATGTTGCAGGATGTTCAGTACCTGGGACGAGCTGCCGTTCGCTGAAGCCAGCGTCATCACCTTGAGGATACTGTGGACAGAAATCAGAAGAACAGATCAGAAACACTTTATCCAGATTGATTCTGTGACAGTTTCTATATTTGAAAAACAAATACAATAAAAAAACTGGAATTAATTGATGAATAAGTGAAAACAGAAGACAATTAAATACAAATATTTAAATAAAGTTACTTCAATATATACTGTAACAATAATACATGTTTATTACAATATATAGCAGTTTAATAACAATAATAATTATGTTAATGCTTAAATCCAGTTCATTGTGTGAAGTGATGTGTAATACAATCATAATAATTCATAAAATACACTAATTAATAAAGTGCTGTGAATATGACACAGCTGAATAATAATAAACAGCATAGAGTAATGCATGGTTGAATAATGAACATATATTGAATTAGTGTCAAACATTTCAGACTGAAAAACTCACCTGAGTTCAGTTTTAATCTCTTCATAATCCATCTGGGATTGCAGTTTAGCTTCTAATCTCTGAAACAGAAAAGAAAGTTTAAAGGAAAAATAGTCTGTATTTAAGTCCAACTTTGAGCTGCTTTATCTGAGTAACTTCTACTACTACATTGTATATTTTAATTGAATTAACTGTTATCAGCGATGGAGGATATTTGACTTACTTAAAGTGGACCTATTATGCTATATTGGAAACATATATTGTAGGGCCATACCTATACAAAACATGTCTGTGAAGTGTTTTGTTTAAAATACCAAACAGATCCCCCGTTGTAGCCATGCCTCATACTGCTCATACCCCTCTTTTGCAGCCCTGTTAGAGAAACGCGGATTTTGGGTCCTTAGCTTGAAAAAAAAAAAAAAGAGGAGGCGGAGCTAATGCCTGATCAGAATTCTCCCGGAGATAAAGTTAAATTCTGCTGTGATAAAACTCCATCCTGTTCTAAACCACATCAAGGAGTATTTCTGAAACAGTCTGGAGCTCAAATGCTTTTTCTCTTGCAGGTTTATCACAAGGTGAGTTCCTTTTTTTATTTCCTGCTTTTTAAACACATGTGCTCTCCAGTACAGGTTAGCTCTGAGTGTTAGCGAGGCTTGCTAATGTAAACAAAGACGAGATTACGTCCAAAAACACGTCAGGCATTGTTTCTGATAGCAACTTTCTTCGGGTCCGCTGCCGATTTGACGTCAGATCGGCGGCAAATCTGAATCCGCTCGTTGAACCCCCGTTTTTAAAAGATTTGGGTACGGAGGAAAAGAGAGGGTTTTATTTTCTGACGCTGCGTGAGTTCCCTGACGCACCGGGGACACATGATGTATAAAAGACATCACAAAGTGCATTTTGCATGATAGGTCCCCTTTAAGTAATATTCTGTTACAAGTAAAAGTCCTGCATTATATATATTTTATATATGAATGATATAGTAAATGATTACTATCATTGATACATGAAAGTGTTCATCACAGCTGGTAAAGAGCTCATTTTAACCACTTTACATTCTTCTGCTGGATAACCTAATCATAAGTCAATGTTTATGTATTAGTTGATTTGCATTTAATATTAGCTAATAACTAACGTAACTAAAGCGTTCAGATGAAAGTAGGATTAGGAGAATACAGTAGCAAGAAATGAAAACACTCAGGTACTCAGGTGTAGGTATAAGTACGTCAAGAGTGTACATAAGTAGTACTTGAGTAAATGTACTTCAATACATCACACTACTTGCAATGCATAACAAGTACTTTTGGTACTTTGAGTATATTTATATGCCAATACTTTTGTACTTTTACTTACATATTTAAAGTGTGTTTTTGATTTGTAAAACATCAAATACATACTTGTTGGAGTTCAGAGAAAAAAAAGTCAGAGTTCTCTGAAATGAAAGTCTGAATTCTAGACGATCTTTACTATTTAGTATTGCTACTTTAACTTCAAACACTTCTTCCCCATTGGTCCCCGCTCACCTCGATAGCCTCCGTCTTATAGGCCAGCTGGCGCTCCAGCGCTAGCATCTGATTGGCCGAGCTCTCCTGCACCTCCTGCAGAGTGAACTGCAGCCGCTGGATGTTCTCCAGCAGGCGCAGCATCTCTCGGTCTTTGACCAGCAGAGAGGCCTCCAGCTGGGAGGGAGAGTCACCCTGATCACCCTGAGAGACGGGGGAGAGGGGGGAGAGGGGGGAGGAAGGGAGAAAAGGAGGGAGGAAGGGAGGAAAAGTTTGTAAATCACAGAGAATTTGACTAAAGGTCAGCACATTAAAACTGCATGTATATTTCTGTAGCACCTCGATGTCCCCAAAGTCTGTAATGCATTACGCTCTATAGCACTGCATGATAATAGTTAGAATTACACTTGCAAAAAATGTCAGAATTCTCTGAAAGAAAAGTCAGAACTTCGAGATTAATCACAGAATAAACAAACAAACTAAATGTGGACCTGACCTCGTCTGGAGGAATATCTGAGAAGAAAAGCAATATATTATATAACGTTTTTTTATTCTCAGTACCTCCTGTTGCTTCATTTTTTACTCAATGTAACTTGAAGACTTAAGGATTATCTTATCTTAAATTCTGAAGTGTAGTTCTTGAGTAAAAGTACTCATTTCCTGCTCACAGGTCACATGACTCTCACCCTGCTGCTGCTGCTGCCCTCTGCTGGACGAGCCCTCCCCGCCGAGGATATCTGCTCCTTTAGCCTCTCCACCTCCCTCTGGGCCTTCTCTGCTCTCTACACACACACACACACACACACACACACACACACACACACACACACACACACACACACACACACACACACACACACACACACACACACACACACACACACACACACACACACACACACACGACACAGACACCGACGACGACG